AAGAACTTCACAATGAAGTTATTTAATTTGGTAGAATTTACAGCAATTCCTTCGCTCATTTTAGACTCGTCTCATCGCCCGCAGGACTCCGACCATGTAAACCGTCGAGGATACACGTTCATAGAACATGCTTGATATCTACAAATGTGTGTATACATGCTGCGAACAATTATTTTATCCTGCGAAGTTAGAATTCCTAAAGGATTTACACTACTTCGCGTATTTACTATAGAAAATTTATCTCTCCCTTCAAACGCGAATATTGGATGGTAGGAATAGTGAACATTAGTTTTCGGTTTACCCAATCCATCAAAGTAAACGTATGCTCAGTTAAAAAGCAGGGGTCGACTTTTTCAATGTCGTACACGGCGTTTTTCCAAGAAGCCGAACGCCCCAAAATGAAAAATAGGGAAAAACGCGGTGGTTGTCTCTCGGGAGCGCACATTTTTTAAACCGCTATATACGTCATTGTCCGCGGCACATTGTCAATTTGTCACGAAGATTTATTTACGTTAGTTTTTCCGTTTTACCGTGTAGGCGAGGAGACGAGGAGGCTGGGAGTCGACGGTGGCTGTTGTCGTTGGAACGAAGGGAAAAGGCAACGAAACGACCTAGGGATGTGAAAAAGGACGCGCTCAACTCTCGGCTACGTCGTCGTCGTTCGTTTCGTACACTTCCAAGCCGCGATGTATGTGCTATTTTTCAGATAATTTATCTCCTTCGCTTGCTACGCGATGTGCGCGCTCCTTCCAATTTCTATGTGTATAGGAGGGGACACGCAGGTGCCTCAGACTTTCATTTAAAACCAACCAGAGAGGGATGAACCCGAGGATGTCACCTCTAAAGAGAAATATACTGGTGTCGGTCTGATACAAAATTCATCTGGAATTGAATCATTAATATTTCTAAATTCTAAAGCTCTAATTGTCAGTTATATTAATTTACACTTAAATTGCTTCAGAGTTGATGTAAAAAATGTTTTGTGAACATATACTGTATTAATTAATGTTGCAAGTATGCAACCAATATCACAGTATTCGTATTAAAATAAGCAAATCGCGTTATTGGTTGCATACTATATTAAGAAGTTAAAGATCCTGTCAACAAATCGTTAAGTTATTTACAAACATTATCGTAAAAATGCGTAATAAAGTGTCAACGAAGAAATCTGAAACGTAACTAACCACATTTCGTGAAGTTGTTGGGTGGAAAGGTCTCCCTCCATACCGGGTCTCGACCCTTCTCGGGGCGTGTTGAGGGTGCCAGAGCCACCTGCGCAGATTGCAACCATAAATCACCCTTTATTAAAACTATATTTACCCGGTTCTCAAGGTGGGCTCTCAAACGTTCCGCGCTACTTTTTATCCTACGGCCCGGCGCAGTCGATAAAATGTTTCGATCGGGCGCAAGTCGGAACCAGTACGATAACGTGGAAGGGTAATCCCAACCATTCGGCGGCTTAATGAAACCGGTACGTCTCTTGCGGACCGGACGGCCGTAAATTTTATTATTTTTCCTCGGCACCGCCGCCACCGATAAAAATAATGCAGGAAGCGATCTCTCAGGGTGCCCCCGAAAATTCTTTCTCTCTCCGTCTGCGAACGCTGTAAAACCGAAATATGGTACCCCGGCGCCGCCACCGATTTATCTACGATGTTTGTTTGGCGAGAACCGAGAATATTTTACAACCTAATAATAATGGTACTTCAAAAAAAATTTTAATTGTTCTGTTTTGATTCAAAAAAGTCCTTTACAAAGTACAAAACCCTTTTATACCCACGGATTCCGTAACTAATACAACGAAAATAATTGGGGTATTGGAATTACGGTTCTTGTTACTTGAAACTTCGACAAAACCCGCATTCGTTTGGTGACGTTTTTTTGACTTGACGAAGGCGGACTTTCGAATCGGAATTCAATATCGCAATTATGGTTCGGATTGTTTCAGTGGGCCCTCGGGTTTTCGAAATCAATGAAACGTCTACCCTCGGTTATAAAACTTGGACACTTTCCTCAAAAAGGTATTTTATTGCATTTTCAAGTTTTAATTGAAATTTTGTTCACAAACTCAGCTTTTTTTTATCAAAAAGGTTTTAATATCGAAATTTCTTAGATATTTATAAAACTTGATACTTATTAAACTAATTCTATATGTATTAGATGAATAAATTTTGAATTTGAATACATAAATTGTCGTGGATTAAACAAAGTTAGATCTAATTTTAATTTATGACTAAAATTTCCCGATTAATCCTCTATAAATTAAATGAATAACATTTAGAATAAAACGATTTTGATCTAAACTTCCCTTTTAAGTGAAAAGGGAATTCTTTAGATTAAATAATCTAAAACAGCCCGGAGTCTGGTTAACCATAAATTTTAATTAACGGTTTACAACGGGCCAGATGGCCCGTGTGGACCTTTGTCACGTAATTAAACACCAGGATATTGTATATACCGGGAGGACTGTTTACAATTATCCGCATTATTTATGCTTAAAACGGGGAGCCGTTACTTTAATCAGGATTTAATGGCCGACCGCAGTCAATTTGCTCACGAGGAATCCCCTCGCTAATAATATTCTAATAATATTTCTTCTTCCGCAAGAAGATGTCAACTTGTTAGTCGCTTGCGTCGAAAATCTAATTACATCGTCGTTGACGCTGCAACGGAGACATCGTCCTCTAACTGTCAACGAACCTTCCATTATTTTCCGTCGTGCAGACGGGAATTATCTTCTAATTAATCGGCTCCACAATCTCATAGCTTAATTAACCATGGTGGTGCATTGCAAATTGACGAAAATGTACACACGACCTAAATATGTTAACAATAACAAAATTAAAGCAAAATTCTAGTTAATTCTAAAGTTAAACATGATGTTTTATAAAAAAAGAGAGTTTAATATCAGATGGTGTTAAATCGTTGCGTTTGAGCGAAGAGGCAGAAGTAATTAAGGTCTGATTCATCCCGCCATCCCTTTAATTTCGCAAGTAGTTATGCCCGCACCGAGCTCTTCGGTCCTCCTCGCCTGCGATGACATGTGTCACTGGGCGAGATATTCCAGAAACTTAAGCTGTTAAATGTCAGCGAGATTTAATGAAGTCCTCGCCCGGGACTCAAACGTATAGCACCAGCAGCATTTACGCTGTAAACTCATTTTTCTTCTTTAGCTTCCTACGAACATCGCGTATATTTTGTGCATTGTTCGAGGCGCCACGTTTACAAATTGTCTTTGTTATAACAAAGTTTACAGTTGGAACGTTTCACTTTTCCGAGGGGGTGGTGCTACCTTTAATCGATTAACGTCGAGTAATGTATTAAGGGGAATGAAGTACCACTTTACCTGGACTACAATCTCCTTTAGATTCGCTGACAAATGTTCTCAAAAGTGTGTTAAAAGAGGCAACTCGAAATATTATACCTGAGCTACACCATAGATTTTATCTTTCTTTATAAAACGTGATGGTGTAAAGAATGAAGAGATCAACGATCACGATGTATAAAAATTACATCAATTTCTTAATACTCTCATTTTGCCCAAATATATTTAATAGACAAAGGTTATTTGTTCTTGAACCCTAAAAAGTCTTGGGAAACCCCCGAATTCATCGTTTCGTAGTAAGCTCCCGCATCAACGGTTATGGTAAAGTTCCGGCGTTTCCCGGCTTTTTCGATATCCGGACCTTCATCAGTAAATTCGAATCACGTAGCCATCCATAGTCGGAGAGTTCAATTTTCCTCCTGCTCCGAGAAAGATGACGGTGACGGGAGGGGTTCTTTGTTTTATTAGAGACGTCGCGAATTTAGAAAGCAATAGATAATAGGGGGTGCCGTCCCCGTGGCTTGATCCACGGCTATTTGTCTTGTAATTGGATTCGACGAAAAAGTTCATGGGCGAAATTTTGATAAAGTCTAATGGAACTAGGAAAGTAACCTCGTCACGTAAATGTAACCACGCCTTAATTATCATGACAAAAAGTCGAGAACTCCATAACCATAATTGAAAAAGGGGAAAGATTTTTTTGCATCGGATTGAAAATAACCATACCTATTTTGCGAAAGATATTAATGGAACTTAGGTACCTTATTTTTACATCATATTTGATCAAAAGTGTTTTTTTTTGAATACTTTTTAATTTTTCAAGGTGTTTCAGATCATTTTGACACACACCAACAAGCAATTACTATTTTTTACTACATTTGTATCTTTTAAACACTTTTAAAAAAGGGATTTCTTTCTTGGTATATTGTTAATAAATTACACACATTTTGATTCACACCTATCAGGTTTTTACATATGCTAAAATCTTTGAAACTTCAGGAAATCATCCCCACTAATTTTTCTAATTTCTTTCGCTTTTCTCAGATAACATAAAGATCTTTTCAACCGTTTTGAGCTCTATAGAAACGAATTATAAAACTTAATACTGTAAGGACGCTAGATGCAGAGGCGCTACAACTTAGACCGTTATTAATAAAACGTGAAACTCATCAATCTTTAAAAAGTCATATCTCAAAAATTAATTGAGATATCAAGACTAATTAAAAATCATTTTAAATTAATTTTAAAGTTAACATTTATTTTGCTAAAATTGTAGTTGTGTTTAAAAATTTCTATCTCAAATATCAAAAAGTATTTTTAAAAATGATTTTTTCCGTGAAAAAGTTTAGATTTTTTCGTGTATTTCGTCATTGCGTTTTTCCCTTCGAAGATGATTGATAATTACCAATTTGTACTAATTCAATGATTGTCACGTGATATCAATCTATCTTTTTTTTGTGGCTGTCGGTCCAGATGAGTGATGGGGTGGATCAAATTAGAAACTTTTTCGAAAGGATCTCACAAGAAAGAAAGAAAGAAGAGAAAGGATATAAGGTTAATCTTAATCCTCTTAAGGATCTGTAGGGACATTTTCGGATCTATACAATGACCCTTTCTGTTGGATCTTGACACATTAGCATTTCTTTTAAAGGGATATAAAATTAAAACAACAAAATTATCTACATATACATTAAATTTTTATTCGAATTATCACAGTTAACCGTTTCCTTTCAATTGTAGTCGCCGCCGACGTGTATTTAATGCAAAACGAACGAACGTATATAGTACAAAAGTGCTGATGAGTGTGTTGAGAATGCCGGTTTCTTGCTTTTTCGGTGGAGTGCTAGGCCATTTTCCATCCGTCATCCTGTAGTGCTTGGTTTTCCTTTAACGCTTAATGGGGCACGTAAGAAAGCAGCAGCTTGAAAAGGGAACGACTTAAAAAAAGACGACGAGTCCTTTTAATTTCAGCTCTTAAAGTTACTTTTACTTCAAAGTTACTTAAGAAATTCAAATATGAATAGATGGAAAGAAATTGAATTCACAAGAAACCGACTTGATTTACCATAAAGAAAAAAATCAATATTCGACGTTTATTTTATTTAATTTTTTTTTTGATAACATTATTGAATATAGTTGACATTTCTTTTTCATTTATTTTGTATTTTTTATGTAGAAATATTTACAATGTATAAAATTATTGGTATCTAAATATAATAAGTGTTGTTACCCTTTCAAAAATTATTTTTTTTATTTTTTAAAACGATATGGCGAAGCAATGCTTATTTTTAAAAACAATTTTTTCTTTGCCATTTATATTTTAGCTATTTTAAGAGAGCTAATTTAATCTAACACTAAATACGAGAAAACGAAGCCGATCAGACAAATAGCTGTGTTTTTGGTGATTGCGGAGGCAATATTGTAGCTGACTGAAAAAGAGGAAAATAACGGTAATTAATAATTTTATTAATTTTGATAATACTTTTAATTAATTAAAATGTATATATAATTACTGCGATGATACATTACAATGAAAATTGAATTAATAAATGAAACATCCATTTCAATTTTATCAAATTACTTTAATAATGACATAAAAGCTGTCATATAAATCTTTGTGTTGTAATTAACTTTGTTTTTTAGGTAAAAGTGTTGCTAGATAACTTCGAAACGAGAGTGATATAGACATTTTGTCAGTGTCGTAATTCGCAGTGGATGTCCCTGTAGCCAAAACTACCGTCCATTTATAAATTTCTCACTTTGAAATATCGCGACTCGAAAAAAAAACGTAAAATAAAAATAAAATGTCCCAACGGAATAAATTTCATCCATTTATGCGATACCGCCGGAGAAAATTTGCACGATATCTCTTCACAGTTTAGAGTCCGGCTGTGGACCAACACTCGCATTTTTATTAATAACGTACATTTCGCTTACCTCTTTCAGGGACGGGGTGTCTTCGAGCGCTCTCCAAGAAAAGAACCGCGTTATCGCTGTAGATTCCGGCCACTTTGGCCACACATTCCAACTTCAGGTCACCGTTGTCTTTGAAGTAGTGCTCGGTTAGTTTTATTTCTACACTTAAGTCGCTCCAATCTGGATGGGAAATTGGTTTTTGCTTCGATAGATCAGACATTTTTATCTTAAAAAGCAAATATTAGAATTATTTATTTAAGAAGATTAATTTTTTATTACCACGAAATTGTTTAGGGACATGGTCATTTCGGCTCTTGGTTTTGATGGTGGCGATGAGCAATTGGCTTTGAGGACATCGCCCACGTCTAAAGGATCTCTTCCAACACTGATTTTTGGTTCGTGTTCTGGTAATTCTGAAACGGATTTAAGGTATAAAAATTTTCGGAAAAATCAATTTTGCTATCAAAAAAAAACGTTCTGATTATTTCCGAGCGCGTCGCAATCAGCGGGACGATTTATGGTCCAAATAGAAGAATTATTGAATCTCCGATCTCGGGATAATTGAATCCGGGGCGATTTTCGCTTTGGTAATTGTTCGTTCGTGGGAAAATTCCACTGGTTTTCCTTGACGAACACGCCATTTCTATTTGTGTAAGGAATTTCTCTTTATATTGCGATTTTACAGAATCATATTTTCTAAGCTCTGCGGCGGGTCAAGTAATTGAACGAACCAACTTTATTTTTAGATCGTTTTGGAATATACCAATTCAATTAGCTTATTGAATAACAAGTTCCTTGAAATTAAATCACCCTATAATTAATTTTTGTATTATTTTTTATTAAAAGCAGCTTATACCGGAAATTTTATATAACTCGCAGTAAGTATAGCTACGAAACTACTATGCACTTGCACTGTCCCATATAAAATACAACATACCTTAATAGTACAGGTATTGGGTAATTTTGCAAAGGAAAAGTTTTGCTTGGAAAAGGTGATGTCGTTATGATAACTCTGAGTTTCCGTCTAAACGCGAATGTTTCTGGTTCTAGATCTAGTGTTAGTTCTACTGTTTTTCTAAGCCTAATGCAGTGTAACACAGTATTGCAGTTTGTTCAATCTTCTAACCGTATCTTGCTAATTTTGCTTAGATATTTTACGATGGTTTAATGTACCAATATGAATCGGGTATAACCTGCCTCTTTCTCTGATCAGTAGCTCTAAAGGTGACCTATGTGCACTATTTTCAATAGCCGCCACGGTTAAAACTAGAATCTATAAACGTTATATCGAGATTTTACTGTAATGCCAAATTATATTGACATGTTATATTGTATGTAGGATAAAGTAAGTAGATACGCCCTGGTTTCTATGGAAATATATTTTTGTATTGCATCTTAAGTGAAATTCACTATATGTATAGAGTTGTCAATTAAAAATTTGTCACAACCACCAATAAACCATGAAACATATCCGCCATAACGTAACGTATGCGCATACATAACGGTGTAATTGTTGAAAACCGGCACGGTAATCAGGAAAAATGGTGCTCCACAGCCGTGTTTCGAGAAGATATATAGGTCCTGGCGGTAAATACCGGGAGCCTCGTCCGAATTAGCGTGGAGCGTGTCCGTTTCTCGTCATCTAAATTTGCGGCAACCGCATAATAAATAATACCAACAATTTATCCCAACAGCGGCGGCTCGGCGGACAATTTCAATTTCGTACGTGCCGTCCGTTTACTGCCGAAATTAAACAATTATTTAAACAATTTGCCGAGAACGTTGTGCACACGCCCAGAGAATTACAATGAACGCATACGAACAGGAGCCAACAAACATTGTGTATGCGCTAACATGTTTGCCATCTGAACTACTGTTTACAACATCCATGATACTAACTTGATTTGATTCGTTTCATTTCATCATCAAAAAATAGATATACGTAATTAAAATTATAATATGTGTGATGTCATGTTTGTTATGTAAATGGCTTCGTTTGAAACAAAAGCTTTTTGGACATTGACTGAGAGCTGGGTTAGCGAAAGAGTGGTGGTATTGGATAACAAAAAGCGGATATTATACGTGACGTGTTTGGGGCGTTACAATGCAATATCGATGGTGTAGATGTCCATTAGGTCCAAAAGCGATTGCGCGAAATCCTATTTTGTCGACGTGTATATTTACAAAGCAGTTCCGTTCCGGTGCGCTTAATCCGACACGATAACAAACGCCAAAATCGTTTTTTCCGCTTTGCCCTAGTGGCTGAATTCGGATCTAGCCATGGCGATTAGCAAACGTTCAACGGCGGCCTCCGATTAATCGTGGTAATAGCATCCTCGCTAATGATGAGTTCCGCCCACCCTGAATATTGTTCGCCGTTGTTCGTTCTCTTCGAATTTCGGTAATTAAATACATATGAGTTAATCAATTACCGTGTATTGTGCATTGAGTATTCTAGTTTTATTGGTGGAATGGTACCAATAAATACTCCCGGTTTTATAGTGTACCACGTTTGATGCTATTTCATCGAAACCTCTCATGTGCGCGAATCCCTTTGATGCTCGGTTCACGCCAATGAATTTTATCGGCTGTTACATCAACTTACATTGTCCGCTTGTCAATGATAATTTGTAGGACGGGTGCTGCACCAACGGCAATATCAATAATAGTAAATTTCGAATGACCACGTCAAATACTCATTTATGCTGCGGTATGCATTGAATTGCATATTAAACGTTGATTGCATATACCTACGCAATAATAACTAATACACAGGATCCAATAGTAATGAAAATGCTGATACAATTTTGAGAAAATATTACAATATGTTGTAAAGTTAACTTTATTCGTTAATAATTTATTACTCGTTATGAAAGATGGCAACGCATAATCAAATAAGTCAAGTCGATTCAGTTTATTAATATTTAAATGAACGCTGAAAATGTGCACGCTTTTGCAAAGCATTGTATTGATCGCCTATAATTTGGCACACAATGTTGACACAATATAGTTAATAATTCAAAAGTTAGTGTTTGGAAACGTATTTTAAGTCAGCAATGTTACTTGGAATAAACTGGAATGTCGATCTTTTCGGCGACATATAGTCGTCAGAAACAACTACTTTTAGAATTTCCAAAAGTCAAATAAGAATATAGAAATAATATTTCTACTGCAATACTGTTGTTTGAAAAAAAAAATTAAACACAAAACACAACGTTTCAGTTATTGAGTTTCGCAATCCGACAAGAAATGTTGAAACTATTTCTGGAGTTTGCAAACCATCTAAAACAGCCCGCAACAAATCGGTCAGTTTCGGATCTGCGTGTAGCCGCTAAATAATTTGGGAAACAGGCAGAGATAAGTAAACCGCCCCCTAAGGATGAACGTTTCCAAGTTTTAGGGAAAGGGAAAATCCTCCGTTTCCCTCGGGGAAAGTTGTAGCTGTAGCACAAACCTTCATTATTAATCGAGGGAACTAATTGATAAACATGAATCCGCCCAGGGAGTTTTGGGTTCTTTACGAGAAATGTCGAAAAAGAGGAGACCCTCATTCGACGGGAAACTATTTTTCTTCGGAAAACGGTGGTAATAAATCAACTGGGGGTCGATTGAAATTGCAAAAACGGTAATTTACAACACTTCGAGTTCAAGGGGTTGTTCGAATGGTAAACATAAGATTGACCACGCCCTGTTGTTTTTTTCTTTATAAAAACTAATTTATTTTATCTAAAAACATCAATTTCATAGATTTTTCTAGGAAAATTCGACTTATTTTTGTGGTCGTATACCTTGATTTACAACCAGTAGACTTGCTGAAAGTGGTACTTGAAGTAGTCTCACTGGAAACAACAAACGGTTTCTTTGAAGTCGTAGGATACAGTCGGATGGACCTCATCTCATATTCCATGCATGTTCAATGGGATTAGGTTCGTAGTCTCTAGTTCTCACCCCGAATAGGAAATTATCCATTTGACTGTTTTCGATTTCTCTCGGTCGCTTTGCCTCCGCACCAACTAAAACACGTTATTAATACACGGACTTGTAAATTTTCGTGGATGGGGACATTTTCGGATTAAATTGCTAGGTAAAACAATGCCGAAATATCCAATTAAAAGTTGGGGTACGCAAAACTTATCATTCAACGGATTCCTGCCGCTGAAACTAACGACAAACTTTCAAATATTTAGAGTTTAAACCGTGCCGTGGAGTAAAAGCGAACTTGCATAGTCCGATGGCTTGGTAACCAACGAGTTTTTTTCCAACAGCCTTCGAAACACCCTCTTCTCTTCTCTCTTCCTAATCGTACCCAACTTTATTTCACTGCTTTTGTTCACGTTGTACAAAAATTAAACTTGACTGAAAAAGTTATTTCTGGTATGGTTCTTTTTACAGTGAACCCCGAAATTAACTGCAAATTAAAATCCTTTTATCAAAACAAGTTTTAGTAAAAATTACTTAATACGAAATGTAACAATAGAAAATACGATTGAAAACATTGATCTCATGTGAGTAATCTAAAGGTGTTAGAGAGTCGATCAGTTAGATTGTCAAGTTTAAGTGGCAACGTCTCCAGGTGCTTTCAAGATAGTTGAACCTCCTAAAGCACCTCCATACTTTATACGTCTCGCAAATTATTCATTGAAATCCCTAAATGGGTCAAACGTGAGTCCCCAACTGCAAGTGGATAATTGGGGTTTCGACGTCCCGGCGTGCATACACTAATTTGTCTGAGACGAAGCCCCCGGAGCGATCCGTAGATTAACAGCGTGAATTCCGAGCGCCAGGGATGATTGATAAGCAGCCCGAGAGGCGTTCAGCGGCAGCACAAGACTGACGCGCTTCTGGGAAGGCCGATTGTTCATCGTTAGCTGTGAAACCGCCACATAAGTTACCATACCCGAACCGCCCCAGGAAAACTCCTCCCGGTGGAACACACCCCCAAATGATGAACAGTAACTATGAATTCATTACGGTTTCAGGCCAGAAGCGAACGTCGAACGACTCCAATGCTCTGGCAGTACGGCGTATGTAAATTATGGAAGAGAGAGGAAGATTGAGTGTACTTACGCCCAAACTTCGAGAACCTTTCGATGGCAGCATCAGTTGATTCAGGTCCAATTACGAACGTAATGTGATAGCAACCACCATTTACGGTAACTTTCTCATAAAATAATTTAACAGCTTCGATGACATTTTCCTGCACGTTAACAATTTCCAAAAGAACAACCCCATTGTTTTCGTCAAACCTCACCCTCGCCCTCGACGTGGTATACGTATGCAAATTACTAGACGGAATTCGCAATTACGATTGAGCGGGCATACAACAAGCCGGGAATCGCAAGTTGACATCTCAATTAAGGAACCATTGGACTTGCTAAGTTCAAACAACGGGTAACGAACATTGTCGACGCTAGATACCAATTAAAATCTACGTACATGTTTAACACACCAATATTACCGTATACAGTTACAGATGTGTAAATACCCAATATTGTGATAAGTTTGAAAGATAATTTATAACGTTATATTAAATCGTACGTAATTAATCGTCTCCACAACGAAAGTTTAATACTACCATCGAAGGGGGTAAACAGAGAGAGACCGAATTGTTGACTTCCACTCAGTTAAGATTGATTAAATAAGCGAGACTTCGTGCGACGGAATTAACCCGTCAGGTCGATTTAGAGCCATAAATAAGGGCGAAGTTCGAAGAATGTCACCCTTAATTAAGCAACCGTCCTTTCGAATCAAAATTCCATTATCAGTAGAAGAGGAACGGGAAGGAACGGCTATTACACGGTTGCGGCCCTTAAAACTTTATCGACCCCCATCGACCTTTGGTTTAATTGATACTACAATATAAAGTCAATCCCCCCAGTGGGGTTAGTTACAATTCTTTCGAGCAGAATTATTTGATTCTGAGTTCTAAGGTTGGTGGTTTAGGTCCAGAGGGAAGGTGCGGGATTATTTTGATGGCACCATTAGGATGACCCTAAACTAGGATTCTCTCTGACTGGTCCCAGTTTATTGACAAAAATTATTGGGGACGAACTAAATTGGAATTGTTAGTAGAAATTTAAATAAAATATCTATGTCTAAAATCTTATATGTAAAAAATTTCTTATGATCATAATTAAAGCAATTTATTTAAACATTTTATGTCATTGAAAACCGAAAAAATCAGACCACGTCAGTACCTGGCATAAAAAAGATAATCCATCACTATTTTATAAATGATGAAAAACTGTTTCGCTTAAACCAAAATGTTCATAACTCCTAGAGGTTTAATCGGAATGATCTCGACTCTCGATGACAAATGAGTATTGTTCACAGTCGAAGTAATGCAAAGTATGAAGAAGCATGGGAAGTAGGAGGTTCCAAGTTTTTGTTTATGTCGCGTGTTTCGCGCGGTTGGCGTGAGTTTGACACATTACAATCACAAAAGTGAGGCACATAATGGCGTTGTGGTGTGACTTGGTGGCTTCGCTACGTGTCAGCGTGTAGTAGCAGCACGAATTGAATGCCGCCGTTGCGGTAACTTTCGTCGAAGTGTATTAGGAAGTTCTCGGGAACTTTCCGATACCCACATAAGTCAGACATATGTTTTTCTATTGCCCCGCTTCCGTTAGAGATTTCCACCCACTACGTGACTAGCGCCCTTAACTCTCTGTTGTCAATTAATCAACCGCCAACGAGAGGTTTGGGTGCTTAGTTAGTGTTGGGAGATTATAATCGTAGCTGAAATCCAGCCTGAAATATGATGATGGCGCTCTCTAAGAAACGTTGTTCTTATAAGAAGACGAAATTTAAGAAGACCAAATTTAATAAGATTTAATGAGCTAAATTAATGGGAGTAAAAATAATCTCTTGGAATTGATTTTATTTTTTTAAGAAAGTATTTTATATTCTTATTATTCTAATTTAAATAAACCCCTTATTCTAAACACCCTTTGTCCTGGAATTCTCGAAAATCCTGTTTACCAAACCATAAAGCACCTTTAGGGTTGGGAAAATCCGAGGGCGATGAGACGGGTAGGAATTTGAAAGTGAAACTCTTTTGTGACCAACGACCGTATATCAAACATTGAGTATTCCACGACAGTTTTGCGTTCGTGCCCTCTTGCCCATATCGCAGGGTTTTATGTAAATCAACAGATTTAAACTTTCACCCCTACTGCTTAATTTTCTTCGCTCGGGTTACCTTAAAGTATATTAAACTGAAAGGGGGACAAAACTGCTTATACAAGCTCCATTTCCACTCCTTAACATTCGATTTAAAACCTTTTAAGATAATGTTTTATATCTATAGTGTTTGTATTGTAGTGAAGGAAAACGAAACGATCGAAAAGCCGCTGCATTACTTCTTTTAGTACTCGCTGCCCAGCTCGTTTGTAAGCCATTTAGCGCCAGATAAAGTTTGTTTAAACATCCTCCCCGGGAAATTTCAGTGCGCGCCGGAATTTTTAGCGGAAAACGGAAAATTGGGGTTGGATTTGGCTCTAATCTGTATGCCGGGGCACGAACCCCGGGGCAATATTAATATATCTCCCTTTACTCGAGAGTTAGCCGTCTTTTTGAATATTATGTGGCACTTTTTCACTAAAACTGCTAATAAGGTGCTTGGTTTTATGTGTGATTGGGGACAAGAAAAAGTTTTTGGGAACCGTTTTCGTTATCGTCTTATCGACTTCTTTTTTTCCCCACATACGTTCTTTGATTTTAAATTAGATGTTTTGGTTGTTAATATCACAATAACTTTCTTCCGATCTAATTGAATCTAATTTTCAAACTTTATTCTTTTCTATAATTTATTTTTGTATCTTAAAAAGTTTCTTTGGTCAGCACGTTATAAAGTTTAACGCAATACGAGGTCTAAATTGGAGACGAGCTCCAAAAGTTTCTTTGACCCCACGGGAATTGCTCCCCTTTAAACGAAAGAAAAATCTCACCGTACTTACGTACAACTTGCATGGTCTGCTCGTCGCGTCTTTCAAACACCGTATTTCCATCTGCGGTCACTTCACAACTGAAGTTTCCAGAGTGCTTGAAGTCCGAGATGTTCCTCAGGTACACCTGAGTGCTGTTTGAAGCCGCTCCCTACAACAAGAGAAATAGTGGGAAATTAAAGATGTCGCCCCGCGGGTAACAAAATCGATCTGCTTCCCGATATTGGCCACCACGGGGATACTTCGAGAATTTCCTGTGGCATTTCTAATTTGCCCAATGGAGAGAGCTTCCGGAATCTCAACTTTGAACTAAATTGTCTTTTTGTTCGATCCCAAAACGGATAATATTGAGTTTACTAAAGGAATGACTTTGTTGGGAAACTCGGAAATGATTAGAAACTTGCTATATTGAAAATAATATTATTTGGACTTAGCTTTGTAATTTTGTCGAAACTGTATTTCTTTTACGACTCACTTTTCCGTATAGTTTCACGTTAAGCGCTCAACCAGTATCAGGAATTTCCTGTGGTATTTCTAATTTAACCAATAGGAGACCCGTTCACCTTGATAGAACTAAACCTAGACGTTCCCGCGCCAGCAATTTCCTTATATTCTCTACACAGGAACGGATCGAACACTCATCTAAAAATCGGGAACTTGAAATATTTAAGAACACGTCCCGGAAAATCCGGTAAGTGGTCGCACGACCAGGATTATACAACTCGGAGCACATTGAATAATTTATGTCTTTTCCCCACTCCGGGAATACTTACATCTACGGTGAATCCTTCAATAGCGAACACCTTCACTTTTGTCGACTCTGTTGGGGTATACCTGTAGAATTCCCTTTGACCTCGGTACCACTTCACCGAGTAAAGACTAGCGCCCTCTAGGTCGTAAGTGCAATGTAGAATGGTGTCGTGATAAAGTTTCACCGTTGCCGGATCTATGTTCAGTTTCACGTCTTTTAGGCATTGCGATCCTGAAAGAAAAGAGTGTAAGGTGAGTGCAAAATATATTAGAAGAATAGTTCGTTAGGACATCGTTACACCCGTTTGTTTGTTATACTTTCGATTTGCCTTTTGCAGAAAAGTCGGCGGTTGAGTTGAGACAAGTTTTAGTTTTGCTTTTTATTGATTTAAAAAAAAAATATCTCCAATATTAAGAGGAATTTTTTGAAGCAGACTTTTTCTATAAAAAAACTATTAAAACGACTTTTTGACATCTATAATCTATAATAATATAGAATTAACCCAAAAGCGTTTAGACATCTTTTAATAATTGTAAGATTATTCTGGATATGCTTGGAACTCATTTCTAAGTTTTCTGATGTTTTTACATGAATATTTTCAATAATTATCGGAGTATTTTCAATATTTCCCAATGATTTGATAGATTTTGATGTCCAAATAGTTATTTATTTGGGTCCACACAGCACTTCATGAGATTTTAAAAGATTTACATGGATTGTCACCAAGAAGAATCTCCAGAATGTTAGTTTTTTGATAAATTTAGCTTCTGTTTATTTCCTAAATTCATCAATATTTCGATGGTCTTGAAATTTAGGGATTAGAGTGTATTGTATACGATGGAAATAAATCAGAGCTGATTTACCTGTATCGTTTTCCCTTTGCATTTATGGATTACTCTGTGTGTGGTCGGGCAAATAGGTCGGATATTGAAATGCTATCGGATCGCGCCGGTTAATCCCAAATTTATTGCCTTCGCGTATTGCCATTGGGATGGTCTTTAGGATTTTCGTTTAGGTTGGGTAAAATGTTTTAGGCAAAAACCGCCTGCAGTGCATATGTCGTATGTGTTCGTTCATATGTGATGTCTTCGTATCAATGCTTTGATTTACAAGGTGAATAGCCTGAATCCGTTGTGGACCGAATCAAATCATGTTGATTGGTTACAATCTGATCAATACCGTCATGCATATTGGCTTTTAAGCGATTATCTATGCATGTATTTGCATGAAGATGTATCGAAATGAAGATCGTTAATAATAGTCATGTTAAGTATTACTAAATAAGAGGATTCTGTTTTAAGAAAATTTTAATTGAAATTGTTTTATAAAACTACTTTGGTTTAGAGCAATCTGAAAAGCTCTTGTTCTTCTATTAACGTTAAAATTAGTTCGCTCACGCAAACAGAGTTTGCTTGGTCCTGTTTGGTTTTACCGCAAAGAGAGAAAACCTCGTTAAAATTTTCCGAGTATGACATTTTCCGAGGACGGATTTATTACGTTCCCGTCAGTTCTCCGCATTGTCTCCCAGCGCCCGAGGATTTCTGTGCAATCCCTAAGCTGACAACTGCTTCACTGAAAAGCCAGTTCACATTTATGTAGTTTTGAATGTGGCCCGGAAAACTCCGGTACAGGGTCTCCCACTTTCCCAGACGACAATATATTATTAATTACCCCGTTCAAAATTTAAGCAGAACTGTATTATGTTGCCCAGCAATTTATTATTGATTCTTTAAAAAAACAAAAACCGCTTCATTCGATTTTGAATTAACATTTCCTCGTATTGGGTGATTTGTTTTTCGTTGTTGTGATCGAGTACAATCATTTGGTGTTTATTTTCTATCCTTCTCGTTCTCGTAATGTGGATAATTTGAAATTGGAAATGCACAATTTCCAACCAATCTATTTTTTTCTTCCAAATCAAACAAGTTTTCCTTTTTGCGATAAACAATAAAACTTTTTGCGTTAAAAAGAATTTTTCGGGGAAATCTAGTTTTGCGCAATATAATATTTGATTACAGTATTCTCAACGCTATAATTGTCGATTGCACCGGGCGGCTCGACCGAAATTTAATAAAGTTTATGCCCACATGTGACATTGGTGTTATGTATTGTACGCGAAACGTTGGTGCGCGGCATACCCATAAGTGCATTGTCACGTGGCACCATGGTGTTTGTACGTTAATTAATACGACAGTTTTGTTATTTATATGACATTTTGTATTGCTTCGAACCATAGCCGCGTTTTCGGTGTTGGTCGTGCGGTTTGATTTATAAACAAATGTATCGCACCCGATTTAATATGATCTTTTTTTCTGTTCATTCAGAAAGAAATATTGTCGAACTGGCGTATTTATTCTGCACGGTTTTATTTACACTACGATAATTGATTTATACGGTTTTGTTTTTTTATAAAATTGTTAATAAAATATAAGATTTTTTTCCCTCTATTCGTTACAAACCATAATTTAATATTTCACATTTTCAGCTCGTCGGGTAAATTAACTGGCAGGGAAAAAGAAAAAATTAAACTGCTTGAAACGTGGTAGTAATAATATGCCGAGTTTCAAGTTGAAATCTCACGAGTACTTAGCCATTTATTATTCCTATAGGGTACGGAAGTGAAACAGCGCTACTGAGATGAATATTTATCTTTTGATATTCACGAAATGATTGTTTATTATTTTTATTACAGTTACGATTTTCATTAGAGATGATTGATATAAAAAACAATGTGTAAAATAATACAGTAAATTTCACTTAAAATGCAATATACAAAAATATGTTTACCATAGAAACCAGGGCGTACCTGGGTAGCGATAGTTGCATATTTTTATTGAACTAAAACTAGAACTAACACTAGACTTAGAACTAGAAATATTCAGATTTAGCCGTGCGTCTTCGTGTGTACTTGAAACTTTCTAGTTCTATTTCTAATGTTAGTTCTAGTGACAGTGCAAGTGTAAAACTAGAACTAACACTATACCTAGAACTAGAATCATTCGGGTTTAGCCGTCTTTAGAGACGTGCGGCTAAACCCAAATGATTCTAGTTCTAGATATAATGTTAGTTCTACATAGAAATAGTGCTAAACCCCAAATGATTCTAGTTCTAGGTATAGTGAGAGAAGAAGAAAAGAAGAAACAGTGCTAGTGTAAAACCAGAACTAACACTAGATCTAGAACTAGAAAAATTCGGGTTTAGCCGTGCTTCTCTTAAGATGAAAAGAGTTATCGTAAGGACGTCACCTTTTCCAAGCAAAATTTTTCCTTTGCAAAAGTATCCAATGTCTGTACTATTACGCTACGTGGCATTTTAAGTAAAACAGTGCAAGTGCATAGTAGTTTCGTAACTGCATTCATATGTATATTGCGAGTTATATGAAATTCCTGGTAGTTTAAGGCTAAGGAAGTTTTGAATATTTATTTTTGGTGAGATAAAATTGTCTTTTTTTATTGTATCAATATCATAACATCAAAATATTATATATTTTTTGAGAAACAATAGATAATTCTGCAATAATTTATCGAAGACAATGTTAGAATTTACACAAGGATTAACACGTCACATACATTATTAAGTATATGAATTTATAGCTCATTAATCTATGTGTAATGCATATTAATACAATTATATGGTCGAACAACTTGAACATTAATATAATTAATTATAATGCTTTGTATAAATGCTCTCTACCTTATAGCTGTGTATAGATAAAAATTGAATTTCAAATAAATAAAGGTAGGAGAAGACTATTTTACTACGTCTTCTTTTATCGTAAACTGTAACAATAGAAACCAACCTGAAATTTTGCTGTCTACTTGCAAATTCCGAGTTTATATACAGAAACGACACGGTAGCCTCGAGGAGAAGAAGTAAAAGGAACCAAGTTGGTGTGTTATTTACGGAGGACCACGGCAATATTTTCACAGTATCGCCGTTTGCGCCCGAGGGATGTCTTTTAGCTGCCGGTAACCACCGACGAATACAATAAACTCGCGCACAAAAGTTGTGGTATCTGCGGGTAGTACACAGGACCGGGCTTGGTCCAAGTCGCCCGGAATTCGTGATTTAATGTTGCGGACAACCGAGACAAAGTTGCGGCACCCGCCTGTAAGTAATTCCGTTAGCATTGTGGCTCACCCAGTTCTGCACTTGGAATAGGTACGAAAACAGAGAATCGTAAGCTGAAAACAACTGAAATGTTTAGTAATAATCATAGCGAAATGTTCGTAGTTAATCGTAAGAGTTTCTGCATCAAAGATTATACAAAGTTACAAAATTTATACAAATTGAATTAATGTTCAAGTTTAATATGTAATGGGACTTAGCACCTGGGCTTATCGCTTGTGTAGTGCTGTTAATAGCGGTTGTAATTACAAATCTATCCCTGATAATTACCGGGGACACTAACGACGTCATTGAATCGGTTCTAATTGCCATGGATACTGGGTTGTGCTAAAAAATCGATTTCAAAAAAAAAATCTACCGGCTATTTATAATAATTACGACCCTTACGGTACTGGATTATGGTTACGAACCACCCAACGGCCTGGAGAATATTTATTAAGGCAATAAAGGGCTTTTTATAAGGGCCGTGTATTTGATTACAATCGACGTAAATTCTGAACTTGGAACGGCGGCGTTTATTAAAAGAAAAACTGTTAAAGCTTCTCGTTTTTTTAGGATCGTTAGTGGGCAAGCTAGCGCCGAAGCAATATTTCATCTAGTTTTTTTTAATCGCCCTATACGTGATCGACAAGGGCTCCACATGTAGCTTTTTGCCAATTTCACCGGGCACTTTTTTCTAACTAGTTCGAATTATTTCGAGATAAAAAAAGGAGTTTCGAAATGATCTATCAAGTATTTTGAAGGAAACTTAAAGAGGAGTTCTTGTCGTGAAGATTCTTGTTGTGAATGTTCTTGTTGTTAAGGCGCTTGTTGTTGAGTCCTTATCATAATCTCCGCAGGAGGATCGGTTGAATACGGCGGATTGTCTTGCAGGGTACCTTAATGCCATTCAACTAAACAAACATGGATTTCGTTGGAGGCAATTTGGCAATCAAGGGCTCATTTACCAGATACCCCGAAATGGAACGTGTAAAGATAACAAGATTACTACACAGCTATAATGTAGAGGGGATTATCATCGAAAAGAAAAACAAGATTTTCTTTACAGTAAACATCTCATTAACGTGATATTGCGTTGCTTAGAGTTTCTTTATCGGAACCCA